TTCCCACCCGGCAGTGCAATCCCAGCAAAGGCAAAGCGCTTCGCAGGCAAGGGCCTCGCTCGCCGAGGGCCGGCGAGACCGGCTGGGCGAGGGAAGATTCATCGATGTCACAAAGGTTGACGACCTTCCCGCAGGTTTTCCAGTTGAGGGCCCGGCTTCATGAGGGAATAGAAAACATGGGTCATCACGGATCCGCCAATCTTTTCTTTGCACAGCGATTGGTAAACCGATTTCGGGGTCGACTAGTGACTAGTAGTCAGCCATAAGTGACATCAGCCATCAGCCAGCGGTTTCATGTCCCGAACTTGGTCGAGTTCGTGCCGTTGGAGGGTGACTTGCTGGGGCTGTGGGTGGGAAACGATTCGCATCTTAGGCCTATATGAATGGAGTGTCTGGGCACCAACGAAACGAAGCAAGTCGTGGGAGGCACCTGAAGACTTGCACATCGGCTTCCAACCACCATTAATTTAATGGGCTTTACCGAACCAACTATGGATTGTACACTACACAACCAGGTCAATTCGAATGGAAGTCTAAGGAACAAGTTATGGAAAGATCGAGCACTGACAGCACATGAAGCGTCCACATTCTGGATTCCTTGACGTGCACGAGCAAAAAAGAGAAATCGCCTGGCGGATGTTCTGGACCGATCTGGATTCAGGAATTCTCTGTTCCTTTTGCTGGCCCGAAGCCAAAGATCTGACTTGTGACGGAGCCCCTGTCTTCTTCAACAGGGAGACCACTGAACCCATGTCTTCTTCGAACACCCAAGGATTCCACACCCCCCCGCCCCTTCGGTGGCGAAGTCGCTCCTCCACCCCGACCGTCCGCAGCCGACCGGCCGACCGCAGCGCACCTGGCGGCCTCACGCGCCAGGTCCGCGAGGAGAGAGTCCAGCTGCAACAAGGCCTCCAGCTGAGACTCTCACGCGCCACAAGGTCCGCTCCAACTGAGAGTCCAGCTCTATAACCGTTCTCAGCTTCCAGGAGAGAGTCCAGCTGAGAGCTGAGAACGGTTACTGAGAAGCGGACGTGATGCGGACGATGGCGGCGTTTTGGAATGGACTGTGGCGGCGTGGCGTACCACAGTCTGGGCGTTCTCGGTGTTCAATTCCTTCCCCAAGGAGTCGCACCAATAGATCAAAGGACCAATAGTATATCCCACGTCCCAACCCTTCCGCAGAATCCTTTACATTTAGCAACACATGCATGGCTAATTGCATCTGCTTTACTTTCCGACGAGCCCTCAAAACCTCTAGATTCTGTTGATGTAGTCCAATCTTCCAGTCTTCATACTGTTCTTTCCGGATGGATTCATATCGCTATTGAAAGCTTGGAGGCCATGGCTAGTACGTTGGAGGCCATTAATTGCTATTAGGTTGGAGGCCATCGCTAGTAGGTTGGAGGCCATCGCTAGTGGGGGAGCAGATTCAAAAGTGTGGAAGACCTTTTTGCCCCGCCGGTGCCTCCAGGTAAGAGCCAAAGGGTGACGGTCCCCTGGCAGCTGGACGTCTGCCATGTCAGAGGTAGCGCTGGACGTAACAAGAGCAATTATATAATACACACATTACACTTGAGTGACCTCTGTTTTAGAGCCGCAACATGGTCAGTTTCCGATCAAAACAGAGATCAACATCTATATATATATATATATCTATATAGGCTTATTTATGCATATATAAATATATATATATCCTCGGCTAGATATGCATTGCCAGTCAGAGGTTTGGACAAATGGCTTCAATCAATGCCGTCTAGCTCGCTGCCGGAAAGCTCCATACATTCCATCCGATGAGTCCAGCTGTATCATCTTCCCCCGACCACATCCTCTGAGGGTCTGTTCCTATCTCGAATCATTTTTCATGAATTCAATAACTAGGAACACACATATGATACGAGAAACATTTTTTTTAACGGTTTTCCAATGCCACCAACCGTAGTTTCAGCTTGTACAACTTAGACTCAAGTCTATGGATGACCACAACATGCAGGTATATGCCCAACACCGAGTGTATGGCGAACAAATTTCATGTGCCAAGTCACATGATGTTTCATGCAACACATGAAAACACCGCTGGGTGGCAAAAAACCTCTCAGTTGCTTGAGAAATTATTGTTATACAAATCGAAGTGACAAGCATACAAGTAATACACCTCGCAGTTCTGGGTAGGTTAGGGCTTTCTAGGATTCTAGGATCAGTCGCTCTGCCAAGTACAAGCAGGGATGGTTCTAGAAGGAAGCCAGGCTAGAACCACTCTGATCAAAGCTAGTCTGTGATAGCTGTTCAAAGGTTCTGAATGCGGTCATAATTACATGGTCATAGATGCTAAGCTGCTAAGCCTTCTGGATTCAACATCTGTTTGACAGTAAAACAGTGTACAAAAACAAGGTCACCAAGTGGTTAAGTGGTTAGCTGCCGCCCGACTGGGTGTCTATGCCGGAAAGCCATTGTTTCAAGTGCAACTTCTCAATTTGACCTATACGCTTCAGCCTTGCCACATCTTGTGCGACAGCAGCTACATCTCAATTCCCAGGTGGTGGTCCTGCCTTTAACCGCTGGAAACGCTTTTCATCATCACTCCTCCCCAAGAAAAAAGCTCCTTTTTTGGAGAAACAAGTAACTCAACATAACTAAACACATGCAGGATCATGGTCTTGGAACGTGACTCTAATCCCAGATTCTTTCGCCACAGGTCTTGTCAAGAGGTCAGCCCCGGCCCACGAAACCCAGTGCCCACGAACTGCCGTCAGCGCCTCACGAAACGCAGCCTGAGGCCTTTCTTGCCCCTTAAAGCTCCACCACGCCTCAGGGGAGTCGGTAGGCGTGCAGCGCCAATGAAGCCCCAAAAGAAAGGACTAGAAGGTGAACTCCTTCAGAACGCGTCTTTTGGTATAGGACCTTTAAGTCTTCCCCACCTGATCCACAATGGGCAACCTTTCAGCTACGAAATGGCGTGCACCGGCAGCTCTTCCGCACGTGCGATGTGCTGTGGCTTTTGCAGCTCTTCCCGCTCTGCGCTTGAGAAGACTCGTCGACCAGTTCGGCCCGAAGACCAGAGGAAGGTCGGCCGGAGCTTCTTCCCGACTGCCTGGAAACCCAAACCACCAGAAACAAATGGTTGTTCCAATATGGCAATTGAAATCCTTTACATTCCTTTACATAGGAAATGGCTGTTTGGGGAAACATCCATTTGCTTCTGGTTGTTTGGTTTCCCGACTGGGAGACCTGGTCGGCTGGTGTATCAATCCCGACATGTTGACCACCGTGCCATACGACTGCAAACCTGGGAGGGAAAGTGTCGCAAGCGAGGTGATTGGGTTAAGGTGAATTCCAACCTAGCTGAAGAAACGTGACAAGTGCCACGCTACTAGTAACAGGTGCCTTACTAGTAGTAACAAGAAGCTAGTAGTAACAAGTGCCACGCTAGTAGTAACAGGTGCCTTACTAGTAGTAACAAGAAGCTACTAGTCAAACAAAGTGATCTCATTGTTGGATTTACCAGCCTGTCCTCGTTGCTTTGGACCGTCCGATTCCGAGACATCAAACACCTCTTTTGAAAGGTCCACAAAAAAAAGGAAAAACCGATCATCCCACCTGGTCAGCTTGACCAGGTGATCACCTGTTAAGAGCCTAAAAGAAGTCAAAAACCCAAGCTACTTCACCTGGCTCGGCCCAGGGCCTCAGTTCCGCTCGGCCACGGCCCTTCAAGTCGCCCTGCGCGATCGGCGCGTGGTCTATGAATGTCAGGCATGTATCTTCCAAAGTCTGCAAAGACCCTGGTGGAAGAGAAACATCTTAGACCCTGGTGGAAGATATAGCGCGACTTGCGAATCTGTCCAAGCCACAGCCCATATTAAGCAGTGGAACAAGTGGTGGAAGATATAAGTTCAAATCACTGCGCCTCTCAGGTCGAAAGGCACAAGACTATTCTTTCAGGACCAGTTGATGTGGGTCCAAACCTTCGCAACGTCAACGTGGGTCCCTGTCGCACGTCGGTCCCCTCGAAAAGCGCTGCGTTTCAAGCAGCTTGCTTAACGGCTGGGGACTCTTGAGCTGAAGAGTAACACGCACGAACAAAGAATGACTCCTGAGCCGTTTCGGAAAATGATGATTCATCGTTTGGCAGGGAGTCCCCTATCCCCCTGCAGGTTCTCCACCTACTTCGGTAGGAATTCGAAGCATTTGGACAGCAAGAACCTCGGAAGCTGCCGCCACACTTTTTTGGCCACCCTCGTCATGCTGACTGGGCAAAGCATTTGGCAAAGCGAAAGATGATTCTTCAGGAGCCTAGAGAGGATGAACAGCCCATCTATGCCTTGAAATGTCGACCTCTGCATGGTTGGGCGTTGTGGTGCATCATTCCATATCAGTCTGGAAAACGTGAAAGCAAAGCAAAACGTCCTGCAAAAGGGATGCCAAATGATGCCAACACTCTGTACCAATGGATGCACCCTTCTGTGTTTGCTTTCATCTGTAGCTGCTCCTTCCTCGTGTACCTCATGAGGGGGAGGTCTTGACTCCGGAAGAGTATGTACAGGATTCAGTGGCGAGCTGTATCATGAAACCTTCCATCTTCACTTCAAGCACCTCCTGCACTTAAACTGCCTCCATCACCCAATCCAAGTATTTCTCACACAAAACGAGTTGCGCGAGTTGATTGTGATCACCTTGTGCCTCAAAGATCCTCAAAGTCAATCATCCAAGACATTCTTGCAGAGGAACACATTGAACCTAGGAACAAAAAGCTACTAGGGGCTCCTGGCCTTACTACTAGGAGCAAGGACGCTACTAGGCGCTCCTGGCATCGCTACTAGGAACAAGAAGCTACTAGTACCTACTTGTTCATGCGTGCTGGCGCTGGCCGCTGAGTGCCTCGAGAGCGGTCCGCCACCACATCTCTCAGGAGATTTGGGGAGATTGGACAGAATTGGGAAGTTCTGGAACTCCAAGCATTCAGAACATCGAATCATATCAGTTTACACAAATGGAATGTACATGTCCTTCTACATGTCCTTCCTCCCCAAAAGTTTATTTCAACATCCATTTTCCTTTCGAACATCTTGGGCTTCTCAGGCCCCACTCAGCTCGAAAAAAGCGTCGCTCGCTGCATTCCCCTTCCGCTGCTCAGTCACAGTCTCCGCGGGTGTCCAAGAACCAAACCTGGGAGAGATGAAGAACCGGGTCCCAAGTGCAAAAGAACCGCTGGGAGGAAACAATACAACCCGACAGTCGCGTCACCTTGCCTCAAAAACGATTAGAGCCGAGCTTAGGTGTTTAGGTTCTGACCTCCGTCTTCTCCATCTTCAGTCAGGGGCCCTTCCATCTCAAATGGTCTTGGTTTTCACTGCAAGCTATTTGTGGCAGGGGATGGCCGGCATATATGTTTGAACTATCCAGGCTGCTGCCTCCCCAGCTTCATGCTTCATTGCTTCGATTCATCGGCATTTTTGAGGAAGAAACAACTTTCATCGGCGCAGCGGCGCTGAAGCGGCGCTGAAGCGGCGGACACCGGGTTCTCAACTTTAAGTCAAGAAGGACTGTTTCTTGAGGCTGGGTTCAGCCGGGTTCTGCAGTAAGGATTCACAAGGCGGATGGCTCATCTCTGCGGCATCCGAAGAGTCCCATCGTCCGATGCCGATGGCTCTTGGGGATGGCACACCATCACATTAAAAACTATGAAAACGCACCTGTCCTTTGGCTACAGTTAAATGCCATGGTGTGCCATCCTCCCATTTCTGTGAGTGCCCTCTTTCACTCCCTGGAAGCATCATGGTTACGTCACGTGGATGGTGGATGGTGCGGCGCCGGTTTTGGATAGGTGGCGCCATTCATTTCCGTGATGATCATGATGATTTCAGGCAATGTACATACTTCTGTTGCCAAAACATGGAAGGGAAGAAGCACCCACACCATGACTCAAAGTCCTGGCGCACAAATATTTTCCATCCGCCCATCGCTTCAAAATTATCCCTGTGACTGTGTCTTACCCCAAACATCCAAGAATCCTTGAAAACCCTGATGCCAGTGAAGCCAAGGCTTATGCTGTTGCTTATGAATTGAAGCATCTCCCCTGACTCCCCTATCCCACCTGAAGTCCTTTCTTGACCCAGCAGCATAGGGCACGCTCTCGGTGGGAATGGACTCAGCTTCGGTCGTTGGCCTCCTGAGTTGGGTGGACAAGGGTAAGAAGCGCCTGTTTGGCTCAGGGGAATTCTCCAGAGTTGGCGACGTTCTCTGATTGTCACCCCCAAGCCCCTTCAGTCGGAAAACACATAATCCATCATGTGGACTGGGACTTCCCAAGCAGTTGGCGTTGAGATGGCGTTGAGAAAATAGAAGCACCTATTTTCAAGGTAGAGCAAGCAGATTTGCCTCGGTTTCCCGCGGACCTTGCACTCGTCCATGTTGCTTTCATCCAGTTCGCTCACGCTTCCGGGGTGCGCAAAAACGGGGACTTGCGGAACTGAATCTGAGACCTTTGCAAAGGAAGTTCTAGAAGTCCAGTCTGACACAGGTCCAAACCTAGTCTGACTGACCTCCTTGAGTAGTGTTTTTTGTATGACCAACTCCAGTATCTGAGGTCAGTTCCTGACCTGTAGGAAAAACTGGAAAAACGAGGGGTTGCCGTAGAGTTTGAACGTGAAAGACACATTGTTATGAGGGACAAATCGATTTGAAAGTGAAGCTTTTCTTCAGTTCCGAACTGACCTCGTAAACCAGCAACCAGTCATTGAACAGCGCATAGACAGCGGTATGCCGAAAAGACTCTTGTCTTCTTTTCATGTCCACAGCTACATACAGCTACAGGATGATCATATCTCCAAAACTCTGAAGTAATCACTCAAACTTCCAAGTACACTCCGAGTAGTCACCAAGCAATGGATGTTTGGTCACAAAAAACCCAGCTTCAGCCATGGGGTTCACTCACACGCGTCACAGCTCTCCGTTCAAACGGAGAAGATACCAGACTTCTTTGGACCAGACTGTTTGGACCAGACTTCTCCGTATCTTCTCCGTTCTCCGATGGTTTGGGACCAGACTTCGATCTTCTCTGACCAGGCTGGGTGATCAGCTCTATGAACAAGAAAGCAAAGCCCAAGCATCAATGCCGGTCGCTTTTCCAGCCTGGCAGATGCCGGTCGCTTTGCCAGTCAAAGTGAACAAACATCTGCACCAGCTCCAGTGGAATCGGACTACTTGCCTTTGCTGGCCCCGGCCCCATCGTACACCCTACAACACCCCACGGCCGGCTACATGTCTTTTCGCTTGTTCTTCCAATGGTGCTAGTGGTCTCCGACCTCAAATAGGCTGAACGTCCGAACCATATGATGGTGTTATACAACTAGGCTTTGAGGCCATTACCGCTTTGAGAACTGGCGAAGGAGAACTTTTGGCTGAGCGATTCCGAAGGATTCCGAGTGGCTCCACATGAATGATTGCTTTTGGCTATATATTTGTTTGCTGTTATGACGTCAACCACCTGAAAGGAAGCAACACAGTGTATCTATATTTTCCGAACAATCATTGGACCCGACCACTTCTGGAGGGTTTTGACCCCTGCACAGCAGGGATTTGGACCCTCAACATCTTCACCTTTGAGGTTTTTGATTCTTGGGGTTGTACAAGACATTGTTTGAAGGTGTCCCAGTGGCGCTCGTACGGTACCTCCTGATCTACTTGCACATCAGGGGTAGGATACATTGAGGTTTCGAGCAGTTTCGACCTCATCCACAGGTCTCCCATTGGCATCACCAACTTTTCAAGGTGACCTAGGTCCTTGCTTGTGATACAAAAAAACCGATGGGTGTGGCGTTTCACATGCGTGCGACGGTGCTGGTGGATCTTTGCTTTACCGTCCTTTTGGGTGACACCGACGGGCGGTTGCCCAGGACTCGCCCAGGATTGGCCCGGTGATTTGTTGGGCCTATCCATGGCATCCAAGGCCTAGTGGACGATGCATCAGTTGCAGGCCGTTCCATCTCAAGACATGGTGATGTTCGTGTGAAAACCCATTTGGCTCGCACCAGGTGTTCTGGGACTGCTCTACAGGTATTTGCTGTCCAGAAAGCTGGGTCCAGACTGATGCGGAAGGAGATTTTTTACTCAGTTGGGGGAGCATCAACATCACCCTTTGCCCCAAGACCCACGAACATCTGGAGTCTGCAAATGTCTGCAAGTCTATGTGTCATAGTCTAGTTCAGCAGAATCCTAAGAGGGGAATATATTCGTTTGAAAATGGTATGTAGCTGTTCGAGTCTCCAGCAAACACTTGTCTCCATAACCGCCCAAACAAAACTCATGACACACGACCCCCGATGACCGATGACGCGATCTGATGATCGCCTCAACTGAGACGTCTGCTTCAAGTTCAAAGCCTCTCGAAAGGCCAAACGGCACTCGGGCATCCTCAGTGGGATTTGGGATCGGCATGGGTTTGTTACAGCGATCTCTTGTTGGATTTGCTCAAGGAAGCTGGAAAAAAAAGGTAATTTACATGGATTTATCCATAGGGAAAACCTTAAACATCACCTTAAACAAAAGCGGGTATTGGAAGATCGACGCAGGTTGAGGGTACCAACTTGGTAAGTACCGTCCCATGCAAACCTTCCCCTCTCTGATCTTCGAAAATCACCTTTTCGAGGGTGTCATCCATGGGTCCCATTCAAAGGGGGAAGTTACGGCAACCGTAACCTGGCCTCCTCGAAAAAAAACGAGCAACCGTCTAATTCCAACACTCTAGAAGTGGAACAAACTACACTCCCGAAAACTAACATAGATCCTGACAATGGCCCCCTGGAAGAGTGTGTTCCTCTACCAACCAGTGGTTTTCAGGGTCCAGGGTGTACTCTACTGAACCATTTGGAGACTTTCCACTTCGATGTTTGGGCAAGATGTTTGTCAAGACACATATATGGGGTGGTACGATGGTGGGCTGGTCGATGTTTCTTTTTCTAGTACATCTCATATAAAAGAAATATCCCCCATATGGCAGTGGGTCAAAAATGGTCAAAACATGTCAAAACAGAGACATCCTGGTTGACCACCGAAGAGATTCCTTTATGTTCGGGATGTCAACTGAACCTGTGGTTTGTAGGGTGAGGCTGTTTTAGCCCACAGCATGGTGAACGAAAGACACTCGCCAGGTCGCTGCCGGCTTTCGCAGATCACCACGCGCCCGCCAGCGGCCAAGGTCTCTCGACAGCGCTCGCCCAGGCGCCAAGCGAGAGCCTGGCAGACAGACGATATGTAAGTTTCATAGAATGTTCATTGAGCTACCGCACAATACATACCAAAAACGATAACGTGACAAGGATATAGCAAATTCGCAGTAGAGACAGCCGAGCAGGTGAACAAGTCCAAAGATTCCTTCCGTGGCAACAGCTGTGTCCGGCACCTTGGAATAACCGACATCCGCTGCCAAGAGCACGTCGTGCGGCGGCAGTGGCTTCTCAGGCGGCGGCAGTCGGTCCTCACCAGCGATGTTGACCGTTTCGATGGTCTCCAAGCTACGAACGCGATGGCATCCACAGGAGAAAAGACAGGATATACCCTCCCTGCAACAATCATGGAAGTGGACATTGCTCCGATAGCGCAGAAACCACTTCCATTTTTGTCACCTTGAGGTTCACCTTGTTCATCCCTTGTTCGATTCGCTTGTTTGAGTGGGGTTTCCCCAATATCCCCCAAAAGGTCAGGCAGGTTAGCCCCTTTTCCATAGGATATATGAGAATTCCCTGCAATCCGTTCACAACACGTTCCGAAGACACGCCAACACCGACCGTGTGTGGTCCGTGTGCCGCGGCTGTTCCGATTCGACCAACCGTATCCCAAGTATCCCACGAAATCATCCGATCACATGCTTTTCTGACGCGGTGCGTAACGTAGGGAATGAGGGTGGCTGGATCCAAAGGAATCTCTATTGAGGTCTCATTCCCTCATTCCCTTAGGATCTTTCTTCCAAAATATAAACATCTACCCAGACATACCCAGACACTCCTGGGCCCTCATGAGGGATCAGACCCTCTTTGAGGAACCAGTCGGGCTGTGAACGGAGCGTCAGGGAAAAAAACCTCTGTAGCTGGTGCCAGCTGGGAACGGGACCCTCACGTGCAGCGTAACCTCACGTGCGACCCTGTCCATGTCCTTCCGGTGCACCGTGGAGACTTGCAGCGCCGTCGGCATGGGCACCGCTAGGTCCAGCACCGCGCACCGGAGCTGCTCGGAGCCCAGCGGATCGTTCTCCATGTGGGCGGTGCGGAGCCTCGGGAGGTGTGGGACGATGGCCCAATGGCGAGAATCCGGCAATGGATCGTACCTTAGGGTACCCAGACGCTCCATGTATGGCATATATGGCTACATCATGGTAGTTTCAGGGGTCAATGTAGGCAGGCATACATGGAGTGTGTGGGGTATATCGGTATATCCCATTTTGGATCCATGGTGTGGGAGATGATCATGGCGAGTCATTAATTACAGACCTTTAAGTGTCAACCTTGGACCGACTGTGACAGGTCATGGGACACACTCATCCAAGATTTTAGATGTATATAGACTCCCATGGCCCACACAGATAGAACAGTGTATCCCCACGAAAAATGCCGTGCCACTATCTATTTGTGGACCAGTACAATATAGTAAGATAACTGTTGTTGGACAGATTATATTATAAACAGAATATGTTAGGATCGCGGCTTCCTTAGATCGATCGCCCTTCGGACATAAACCCATCACCGAGCCAGCCGGACGACGTCGGATATGAGCGCTCCGCCCATCACGTTCGGCCGTCAAAGCGTCCGCACAATGCTGGTCCAGGTCTGTGTCTCGGCGTCTCCGGCGAAACTCAATGTTGAGCTCAGTTGGGGGGAAGGGTTACAGATCCGGAGATCAGATCTGAGATCATGTGGATCAAGCAGATCCCCTCATGTTGAATCAGTTGCGGGGATCTGCCAATGGATAAAAGAGGCTGAACTGGAAACGGCGGTTGATCTGCCTTCAGAGATTCACAAAAGCGCTTTTTACATATAAAAACATGTAAAAACATGAACTTCTCTTTGTTTTGGGGATCTGCCGGTGGATGCTCCGCCGCGTCCGCTCGGGCTCTTGGCTCTTGGGTGCGCCATGGGAGATGGATCCGACACGACGTGGACGACGTGGGTCGACGACGTGGTTGAGCAAGACTTGAATGTGCTGTCCGGGAACCAGGAGGGTCAAACTATTAACCAATTAGTCTTGTGAGCCCGAACTCAACAGACAGAGCCTCTTCTGTGTGTGTGTGTGTGTTCGGTGTCACAAAATTAGTCACCAGTTTGGGGGATTGACCCGGGAAAAAGACGACGACAGCAAAAGGAAGATTGCTCGGACTGTCAGACCCACGAACTGGTCGATGATTGGGAGTCCCATATGACTTCGCTCTACGAAGACTTGGCATCTGTTCATGGTGGTAGCAGACGCGGACACATGACCTACCCAAGCTGACGACACGGACGCCAAAGGTTGGGGCGGACACACGAGCACGACAAGCTCCTTACGCAAAATGATAGGAACGGTTAGAGCGTGGCATAGCGTGGCACAATGGAAGTGACCCAAGATCGTTCTACAGTAATTAATTAGCTTTTCCAAGTTGTAGGCACTATGGAAGTCAACCCACAGCTGAAGCCAGACCAACAAAAACACAGCGGAACAGCCAAAGAGCTACATGACGCTAAAGGCTTTCCTGTTAGGACATGGTCTCCATTGTAGAGGAAATCACCTCCACATCTTCGAGGAGAACAATTCCATTCATTTATATACAAAAGGACCAGCGGCAGAACCACAGGCTGTCAAATCCCACCCCATCAAACTGCTATTGACACACTCAGTGAGTCTCTGAACCTGAAAAGGGCAAAACCTCCAGCTCACACCTCCGCACACATGGCGTCATGGCAGAGCCCCGGAACTCACTCACCAGGGGCCCTTCACTTGACCTGCCAGGTCGTCTCACCGGGACACTCCTCGCGGTGTCATGACCCACATGACCCACATCTGCAAAACCCAGACACTCCATGTATGGCATATTTACCTACATTGGGGTGGTGCGTTTGGGGGGTCAATTGCAGTCCTATGGCAGTCCCATGGGTCGTGTCTGGGAAAGAAGAAGAAAGCTCCGACAGAAACACGCTTGGTTCCACTCACCAGACCCCAACCCCTCGACTCGACTCGACCATCTCCTCACTAGGCCCAGCAGCAGGTCCAACGGCAGCTGCCGATAGTCCGTGGCCAGCACTTGGGCGCCCAAGCGCGCCGCGGCCAGGGAGACCAGGCCGTTGCCACAGCCCAGTTCCAAGACCTTCAGGCCTCCATGGCCGACCCAAACGAGGACATGGTGCTGTCTCGTGTGCGGCGTGAGGGGGGGCATACAAAGAGGTGAACACCTCCCAAAACTAATCAGCATCTCAAAGGAACCCAACGGCAACTGCTGGAGCTTCAGCACCGGCATGAATGGAAGAGTCTTTGCCTTTTGAATCCTATAACAAGTTAGGCACTTGGCAGCTCAACGACTCGGCTGCCTTTGATGCTCTCCTTGGATGACATCAAATAGCTCGCGAGATGGACCGCTGCGGGCCTCGAAAGAAGAGGAACGTCTGAACTCCGCTCATCGCAGCTGCATACCCGGCACACCCTTTTTCGGCTTTTTCGGCTCCGCTGTTTTCTGGGCCACTCCGGTTTTTTCTGGAGCCGTCAGGTTCTTTTCCTCCCGGGCCATCATGTTTTGAGAGAAACAGGTTAACCGACCTTGCCATCTGTCGTTCTTGTTTAGTGGGGTGAAAAACCACTTCCAAACAAAACAGGTAGAACAAGAAGCTACCAGGGGCTCCTGGCATCGCTACGAACGGAACGATCGGACGCTATGAACGGCTCCTGGCCGCACTACGAACGGAGCAATAAAGCTACTTCCAAACGAAACAGGTGACCTGCAGGTGATCCACGTACTTCCTGGGCAGTCCAACCGCCAAACTCAGCGGCCAAAGCTGGCTTCCGTAGGTGTCCCGGCTGTCGCGCTGCTGGTTCGGCGCTCGGACGGCTTCGTAGACGCGGAAGCGATGACTGGCAGGTGAACCTGGGCAGGTCGTGTCCAAGCTGCGTGGGGAGGTTGAGATGTTAGGATTGAAGATAGAGTGGTGTTCAAACTCGATGTGGACTCGGTGGACACCCCTATTCAATGAAAGGGTGACCATGGTCAAACCCGAGGTTTGGACTCACACCCGACAAAAAGAAAGAGTTTCGAAGATGAGGGTAATTACCTAGAACCTGAGTGACCGGACCCCTATTTTGGACCACCAAACACTCAAAATGAACAGAATAGAGGTCGAATGGGCTCTAGGTATAGCTATATCACACTACACCTGCCACTTGTGCCGCACGCTCCAGTGAAACGCGTTTTCACGCGTGAGGCAGTTCTTTCTGTGCTGACTATACCATGCCACACCTACCAAACTCTTTTTGTTCAAGGCATGTCTGTGGGCAAACCTCCTCTGAATATATAGAATGGTCATTTTCTCGTGTGAAGATCCAGAATGACTCTGTGCCTCCATGCCCCGAAGTTGTACTCGCCCTCCTTTCAACTCACTGAAGAGTACAACCCCACTGGAGTTCTCCACTGAACATCATCGCTTTGGGTCGATCATGGACGGTGTGTCGGCAGCCCAGTTGTGCGAACGACCCTGAAGAAGAGCTTCTTTGAACATACTTTTCCTCTATACTAACCCAGTGGTTTTGGGGCTACAGGTTCATGTGTGATTCATGTGGCCTCCAAGATCTTGGAGATCAGCCTTTTCAGTTGGCGACTAGTCACTAGAGTCTTCGAAGTTCGGGAAAATAACACAGCAGCCTGGGCAACAACTAAGACGATGCTTGTGCTTTCGTACCCACTGCACCCAAGCAGCTGTTGATCACCACATCAATCCCACGCAGATCCTCTCGTGACGGCGCAGGCGGCGTTGGCGGGATTGGCACGCTGCAAAGATGCTCGGTCGTGCCGGCAAGGAAAGCCAACCTGAGAAGACAACGACTCGACCAAAACCTTGAAAGTTGCCTGATAATGGATTCTCATCTATGGCGAATCCGTGCAAAAGTATGGCTGTATGTGTTCCTTGCCAGGTCATTTCGGTCTTCACCAACAAAATTTTTCTCATCTACGTGTCATGGTATCATGCAAAAGGCGGTCCAATCCAGTCTCAAGCACCCTGGTAGCGGAGAACCATGTCTCTTAGATTCTCATCTGTTCATCCACTCGGGGGTCAACCAGCGGGAACAAGCCTGTGGGAACACGCGGACGGACGGACCGGAGCCCTGACAAACGGACCGGTGTTGATTGGAGAAGGGCTCGGAGTCTTAAGGGAAGAATCAGGTGTTCAGGGTTTCAAGACAGTAACTATATAGACTTTTTGGGAAATGCTAAAGATATATATATATACAATTCCTTTCATTTAGTTTGCTTTGCCTATCGCAACTCATGTGTTTCCTTGAAGGTTTCACCCGAAGAGAGCCTGTGTAACTTTCACTAACAGTGGCAATGAAGGGCATCAGGGGTCCCTCTTCCCAGGCACCTGCTGTTGCGAGAGGCTTCGATGGGGGCCAGCGGAATGAGTTTGGGTTGATGGAGCTTTAAGTACTTTGGTTGGTGCCCCCCTTTTTGATAGTTTGGACAGGATATTTGTGTTATTGTTATTTCTATGTCCTCCTAAACTATACCACCCAAACTTGGAAACAAGTTCTTAAAGCTGATTTCTTATACCCCCCTGGAATTTGACTGACCAACAACACTAGAATGATGTTTAGGACATTTTGTAGTATAACAATCTACTGGAATAAGGTCCATTCGCCAGGGGGTTCGCTGCTTCAGTCGAAGCATGGTTGTCGCTTGGTTGAGGGGGGAGGGAATCCATAGGGGCACCCCAAGTTTTGGAGCCACTAAAGAGTGGTCCCTTCAGTAGGTCGGTCCTTGAAAACATATCCAAACACCGACCCCTCCTTTGGCCCTTCGTTGGCTGCCCCCGAATGGATGACGCCGAATCCTTCATGCCGCTGCCAGTGACGACAGGATGAAGTTGGCACATCGGTCACTGCGCACCATGGCGAGTGGGCAAATCGTGTTTCATCTTGGCCTTGAAACGGCTCAGCCCGGGCTCGGCTCCGATCATGGCCGCTATGGCATCAGCTGAACCATCTGTGGGCAAGGATTTGCGATTTGGAGAATCATGCTGGTGCTTTGCATTTGCACTGAGTCAAAGGCGACACAGAAACCGGCCCAACATGTTATTTCAGAAAAGAGGAACACTTTGACTTTGCTGGCCATAAGAAGTTGAATGAGTGACTCATTTTCTGCGGCGTGAAGGAAAGAATTGCTGGGTGACACTGACCTGGAGGTTCCACTGTCTCAGAACGCGCTGTGCTATGCAGGTTGAGCCTGAGACGAATGGTAGGTGAATGTGGCCCCATGATGTCCGCCCGAAGCTGTTGTACTTGAGATCGCCCGGACACTAAACCATGAAAGACATGAAAAAAACATGAAAAGACACGAAAAGACACGAACTCCTTAGTGGAGACGATTCGTTTGAATGAATGAACCATGTTGAGTCAGTTCGGAACTCCCAGTGCTTGTCCCGACTGCGCCAGACGCAGATTCCGTGCAACGGCGTGGCGCACGGCGGCATGGCATGGACCCTAAAAGGCACCAGCGTTGGCCCCAAAAGTGACAAGGAACATGAACCAAGGCATCCAACATTGAGACAGAATTATATAAGAACAATTCTAGTATTGATCCATCTGTAGTAGTTGTACTTGAGTGTGTCATGTGCTTCTCTATCTTCAAGACTTGTTGATAAATAGGTCCAGTAGATATGTATACGTTGCAGAATGTCCTAAACATAATTCCAGCGTTGTTGATCATTCAAAATTCCAACAGGGCATGAAACACACATCCTGAGGGTCTTCGGCTTTAAGAACATGTTTCCTAGTTTCAACGGTATAGGAGGAAGGCTAGATACAGAACAACACATCATATATATATACACACATGCATCCAGTCCATATCACAAAGCCTACCAAAAGGGAGGCACCAACCAGAGTACTTAAAGCTCCATCAAACCAAAGTCAATCCGCCGGTCCCCATCGAGCCTCTCGCAACAGCCGTTGCCTGGGAAACGGGACCACTGATGCCCTTCATTGCCACTGTTAGTGAAAGTTACGCAAGCTTCATTCGGATGAAACCTTCAAAGAAGCACGTGAATTGCGATTGGCAAAGCACACTATATATACAGTACATTTAATGAACGCGACTGTAACATGTCCAAAGAAGGCTATAAATTAAGTCTTGAAACCCTGAAAACAATATGAGTGGATTCTATTCTTTTGGTGACCCATATGTCCGTTCTTTCCCCAAAGAATCCGAAGCGGAGAAGGTTTTCTGTGTCCCAAAGCCCCGCCAAAATAGCAGGGTCCAAAGGATATTCAGGTTTTTACATACACGAAAAGTACTGAACATACCCTCATTGCAAACCACATTTTACAATTTTAACCACGCAACAGTTTTTAAATTTGTTATGACCGCACAGCAACATCTTGTAGGACTCCCTAAGCTGCTCGCTCCACAGTGTTCGACAATGTCGAAGAACATGTTCTCCTGAGGGTTACGGTTGATATTGTTATCCCTGTCAATCTGCTTCCAAGCAATGCCGATGTTGTATGGTAAAAAATAAACAAATCTCAGTGGGTCCAGTTGTCACTGTAGGTATATTCAGGAGCTCCAAAGAATAGAGCCGTAGATCTGGAAACCTGGTTGCTTAATAAACTGGTTCCTTATGTAATATCCGCCGGCCCCAGCGATGATGGGGAAACGCGCCAGAGAACACCTGTGCCGACGTGGAGGTGTGGATTTTATACTTGCGCGCGAAAGCAACGTTTGGCACTGAGACAGCCGCTTCCGGGAGAAGTTTCCACGTGGTTAAAGGCGAAACTGGCCGCTCAGATGTGGACTTGAGACAGGTTTGAAGAAGCTGGGCTGGAGATCAACCTGATGGAAGCTGTCCGAGAAAGGGAGGATGCCTGCAGAAGTGCCATCGGAAGCCAAAACCCAACGTCGTCGAGCACAGGTGGGTGCAGGGAATTGTTCAAGATGCGGCCGGCTGGCGGGTCACAACAGAGAGAAAGAAGAAGAAAAAAAAAGAAGAAGAAGAAGAAGAAAAAGAAGAAAAAAAAACAACAAGAAGAGAGGAGAGACAGAGAGAGAGAAGAAGAAGAAGAAGAAGAAAAAAGAAAAACAACAAGAAGAGAGGAGAGACAGAGAGAGAGAGAGAGCGCAACAATAGGTCAATACACTTTTATTTTCCGAAGCAACACTTTAGTGTGGGTAAACAGCTGCCTTGATATTATAGTACTCCGTAGTACTTCCCTTGAAAGAGCAGTGATAATTTGTACTTCCCCTAGGCTCGGTGAGGCACTGATCAGAGCTTCGCTCATCTGGTGCTTCGCTAAATTGGCACCTCCCAGAAAAGTGGTGCAAGATCCATCTTTTAGAACAGATCCTTCCTGCTTCATACTTTGGTACGAACAAGGACAAACCAAGGCACCGCCAGGGACGCGCCTGGCAGGGCGGGTGCGATATCGCAGCCGCCAAGTCCAAGGGACGAGACCAGACTGTGAGATCTTGAGCTTGACGAGACCAGTTGTTTGTCCGCGGAGGCATTGGGTGATAGGAACATGACAACCGCTGAAACGGCGGATTTTTTCTCTGAGTTTTGTTTGAGAAGCACCTGCCACACCTTTCTGTCAGGATTGGTGTGTAGCCGACTTTCGCCATGTGTCCACGAGGTGTTCCGATCAAAGAACATTGCGTCGGCACATAAAAGGCGGTGCAAACCCCTGGTGTCCCCAACACAGTTCCTGACTAAAAACTCTTGCTACCGATGCCACGTTGGACAATCCAAAGAAACCAACACCCATGCAAAAACCATTGTGAGAAGCCTCGGGCACCTGACATTTCAGGAAAAATGATGGCCTACTCCAGGGTTGCGACCAGGGAACCATCCAATTCAACGCCTCAAGCTGGCTAATACGGGGGAAAATGGTCAGTGGATGCAAGCTGATCTGCATAATTATATTGGCTGGTCAGCTAGGGCTGCAAGTCGGACTTTGGGATAAGGAAACATGTAATTCCTTCCCAGGCCGCAGACAGCAAGGCCTCCAGCGCCTCCAAGTGGTCCGCAATTTCTTGCTTGTTGATGTGCTCTAGCATGCTCTAGCCACTCGATGGATTTTACATCGGGCTCGGGCCGCGGATCTGCATCTTTGATTGCGATGGCGAGGTGTGCCAGCTCCAGCATTATCTCGCACATCTTTCTGTCTCTCAACCGGGGGATCAGATGAAATACTTGGCGGGTGGCCAAGAATGGCCATGGCCTCCGTGTGTCAGGCTAAACTTGTTGGGCCTTTTGGATTGGCCTTTTGGAATTCTGAAAAATGGATTTGAGAAAACACTTTGTACATCATTCATCGTCAAACAAGGATGGACATCGTCAGACTTTTTCTTTGTCAGATTTCTTTGCTCCGGACTTCGTTTGCTCAAGGGTTTCTGGTAGGGTCCACCAAAATTGCGCTCGCCCGTCAGGTGCACCTGGCATGAATACTTCTGGGATTCAGGCAAGCTTCATTCAGTCACGTTGTCGGGCATTCTAACAGATGCCCTAAATGCAAGCGTCAGACAGCTACAGCTAGAACTCGCACAGTGAGGATCATAGGTTCCGGTGCGTCGGCCAAAGCTGCCAACGGATTTGTCTGTTTCTGATGTGCCACAGGATAGTGTTGCAAATCCAGGCTGCAGAGGTTGTTGCAGCCCGTCCAGATCTGTTGATAACTCTGACAAAGCTTCCCGATCATCCGAGACTAGTTTCAGCCCCATACGGTCTTCTGCTGGATCTTTGGGCCAGGTCTGACGCACGTCGACTGACGCATGAAAGACGCTTTATGGCCTGGCCAGAAACGAGTTCCAGCCGTTGCCAAGCTCAGCTTAAATCATGCGAAAAGCCATTGAGAAAAACAAACACAAGGCAGAACTCTTCAAATACGCCCCCATCATGCTTCTCCGAGGGTTCAGCCTTGGTTCCACACAAACGGGGTCATAAATGGGATGCCAAAGTGTAACTTCAAGAGTCAGTCATGGAGTCGCGCCTAAGTTTGTGAAGGTTGCTTCCAGATACCCCAGCGGGGGTGGTTATATGCCAAGTCCACTCCCCACGCAGCCAGAAGGACGTCACCAGCTTGACACTCTGCCACCAACGGCTCCATGCCCGTCACGGATGACCAGGTGGCTTCAACGCGGTGAGGTCCGCGATAGGGCCAATATTGCTGATCGATCCCATGGGTGCCAAAGATCATAGGTGCCAACGTGTTTCTCCTACTTTCTCGAGCAACTGGCTGAGGTGAGGCCATATGAAGAGAAGAGGGTGTCTTTGCTCGACTGAATCCGCTGTGGAGACCAAAAGGCTCTGCACACACTTGCCTTGCCAATCCCCAATCGAGAAAAGCGCACCAGGGCTTGAGAAACACATTCGCAAGCAGAGGGGTTTGTCACGTAGTTAGTAGTAGTAGTAGTAGTAGTAGTAGTAGTAGTAGTAGTAGTAGTAGTAGTCGTAGTAGTAGTAGTCGTAGTAGTAGTAGTAGTAGTATAGTAGTAGTAGTAGTCGTCGTAGTAGTAGTCGTCGTCGTTGTCGTCGTAGTCGTAGTAGTAGTAGTCGTCGTCGTAGTGGTGGTGGTGGTAGTAGTAGTCATCGTCATCGTCGTCCTCGGTAGTAGGTAGCAGTAGTAGTTAGTAGTAGGTAGTGGTGGTAGTGGTGGTCGTGTTCGTGGTAGTGGTGGTAGTCGTAGTCGTAGTCGTAGTCGTAGTCGTGGTAGTCGTCGTAGTAGTAGTAGTAGTAGTAGTAGTAGTAGCAGCAGTAGCAGTAGCAGTAGCAGTAGCAGCAGCAGCAGCAGGAGCAGTAGCAGTAGCAGTAGCAGTAGTGGTGGTAGTAGTAGTAGTGGTGGTAGTAGTAGGTAGTTAGCTAGTTAGTTAGTTAGTAAGTAACTAACTAGTTAGTTAGTTAGTTAGTGAGTGAGTTAGTTAGTTAGTTAGTAGTAGTTAGTAGTAGTTAGTAGTAGTTAGTAGTAGTTGGTA